CACATATCTCATGGCTCTGGCATCTCCAACATTTTGGAGTCTTCAGGCAATCCAAGATTCACCTTTACAGCTTCATACAATGGCCTCTCTCAGCCTCCATGCAGGGACACCCCTGACAAATGTCTGGCTTTGGTGGCTTTCCTTAGCTGTGGAGGAAGATCCTATAAAGCCTTTCTTCTATCTTTGACTTTAAAGCCAGAACAATGTGGCCTCAGCTGCCAAGTTTTGCTCCTTTCTGGGGCTGGAACACGGCCTCCTCATTCAATTACATCTTCACCAGCTTTCTGTTTTCAATGGTTCCTTCAATGCCTAAGCTTGGCTTCCAGAAACTGAATCTGTAGACCAGGTGGGCCTTTAACTCAGAAGTCGGCTTGCCTGTCTCCTGAGTGCTGGGGTTAAAGGCATGTGCTGCCACGCCTTGACCTAAACTGTTCTTTAACTCAGAAGTCTGCTTGCCTGTCTCCTGAGTGCTGGGGTTAAAGGCATGTGCTGCCTTGACCCAAACTGCTCTTTAGTTCCTTTTCACAGACTGGAAGCTTAGCTGGGTGGGGTCTGGCCCTGATCAAAATCATCACTCCATTTATTCTTTTTGGCATCAGGCTTTTCTTTAAACTTCTTCCTGGTGCTCCTTTTCTCTTCAAACTTCACATTTTGAATTTTCCCTTGCTCAGCTTGCTCCTTTTCATTATAGATCTGCTTAAGACTGGCCACTAGTAACCAAGCAACACAGCTAATGCCAGGCTGTTTTGAAATGTCCTCCGCCAAAGCTGTTAATCCAAACTCTACAATTTAGCCTCAGACTGTTTGTTTTTTTTGTTTGTTTGTTTGTTTGTTTTCTATTTTTGCTTTTTGGACAAGGGCAGAAAGCAGCCAGGGTCTCCAGGCCACATATTAATAGTCTTCTGTGAAACTCTTGAGCTGGGCCCCCACAGTTCAAATTATCTTGAACCACTAGGATGGCCCTTTAAGCCTTACTTAAAACATTTATTTAACTGCTTTTCTAACCCAAAGTTCAAAGTCCAAATTCCTGCAAACAAAACCATCATAGGCCTATCACAGCAATACCCTAGTCCCTGGTACCAACTTCTGTCTTAGGGTTTTATTGCTGTGAAGAGACACACTATAACCACAGCAACTTTTTTTTTTTTTTTTTTTTAATTTTTGAGACAGGGTTTCTCCGTAGCTTTTGGTTCCTGTCCTGAACTAGCTTGTAGGCTGGCCTCGAACTCACAGAGATCCGTGTGCCTCTGCCTCCCAAGAGCTAGGATTAAAGGCGTGTGCCACCACCGCCCCGCTCATAGCAACTTTCATAAAGGCAGTTACTTAATTAGGGCTAGTTTACAGTTCAGAGGTGTAGTCTATTATTGTCATGGTGGGAAGGATGATGGCATGCAGACAGACATGGAAGGAGCTGAGAGTCCTACATCTGGGTCCACAGACAACAGGAAGAGACCAAGATACACTAGGCCTGAATTGAGCTTCTGAGACCTCAAAGCCTACCTCTAGCAACACACTTCCTCGAACACCACTACACCTCCCAATAGTGCCAGTCCCTATGAGCCAATGGGGCCATTTTCATTCAAAGTACTACAAAATCTAATTAAGCAGAGAGTTTAACAAAGTATTTTATTTATACTAGAGGCTAAATAGTTACAGATAGATGATTCTCTGTTTGGTTTGCAAGTAACATAGAGATGATTTTATTTAAATTATTCTCTAAGCCATAATAACAATTATATTAATATAGTAATCTTATAAGTATTGATCCTGTCTCATAAATATGAAAGTAGAAAGGCAAAAATATCACATTTCATAAATAACTTGAATACTTGTTACTCTAAATCTGATCACACTCTGTATGTCTTGTGTTATGTTATTTTTCTCCAAAAAGTACATTACTTGAAAAAGCTGTTCCCATCTGTGTAGTTGCAAGTTTAAGTACCCATCTATAGAGACAGTCTTCCTCTGTGTAGTGAGGATTAAAGTACACTCTTAGGGGCTTTCTTTCCCTTGTACCAGGCATTTGCCTATTCTCAGATCATAAGGCTCTGCACTATTTCTCTGTCTCTAGAAAGAACACCAGCACATGTCAGAAATGGGCATTTTCTCAAACAGTATGTAATGTTCTAGAGGAAAAAATAGCAGATAGAACAGACAAAAGAACACTAGAAATCTTAAATGCATCCTGTCCTATCACAAGCCAAGGACATTGTTACATAAATCACTGTTCATACAGGAGAGGCTTTAGGATTAGATAACCAACAACTGAATAAACATTTATACTTGAAAACACTATAGAAAAAACCTTTAAAATAGGCCAACAAGCTGCTGCTTCTGTAATATGAGAGAACATGTTTTAAACTCCCTAGGTTGTTGCAAGTGTTTTCTAAAATAAGCAAAGAAACAGAAAACAAATAAGGGAAAGGCTAGTTTAAAATTAGGTTATGACATAACATTTATACAGCCAAATAGATTGAGTGAAATGTCCAAGTTTTAGTAAAATCACAATTAGACCAACATACCCTAGCTTCTCAACTTTACTCCTATGCTAGCAACCTTATCTTCTGCAGTTCTTTCTTGATAATAAACCTGACAGCTCATTTTTATCCCTATCCATTATGCCTTCAAGTCCCTTCTTTAATAAACCTAGATCCACGACCAAAGCCTTAATAACTAGTGCACACAGTGCCACATACCTATAATTTCACCTTCTTGGGAGGCTGAAGGCCTGAGTACAAGACCAAGTTAGGCCTCAAAGTAAGACTTGTACTTCAAAAACAAAGCCACAGCATGCAACTCTAATAACTTCCTTGTATACATCTTCTAATCTACTATACCCTTTCTACCAAACTTTTAGACAAACTTTAACCGTGGTTTAACTTAAGATTACTCACAAGAAAAAGTATTCTATTTGGTCTTTTTCTATTGTATGAGGCAGATACTGCAAGTTTCCAGCCAGGATCTATGCTTTCTTTTCTTACAAAAGAAATCTTGATTTTACTCAGGAAATTCACATACTTGCTAAAATACTATACTTCCCAGGCTCCCTACAACAGATCTGTGACATTAGAATTTACAATCCTGATGAGTCAGGGAAAGATCTTTCAAAGGATCCAATTCACTCAATAGATGTGGCTCTAGAAGGGTCACCCATTCACACAAGGAAGACAGCACTCCTGGAGATAGGCAAACAGAAAAACAAAGTAATTCACAGCCCTGAGTCATAGTACTGCTGTGCTCTGCCCTGAACTACCTGCCTTCCATGTTTGTGTGACCCGAGGATAATAAAAAGTCTTATTATCTTTAAAATAATGTTCTACTGGTATATTTAAGGTGTCCAGCATGGTATCATAGGATACACATAGATAGTAAGACAGTCAACACACTTAGATCAACTCACATAGTCATTTTCTTTGTTTTTATGGCAAGAACAAAAGAAGAAAACCATTCTTACATACTGTGAGTTGTTATTTTAGAGTTTCTACTATCTACAATAAATACAATTCTTGGTTTGTTGACCTATTCTATTTCTAACATAGTAACTAGAGACACTTTAAACTTACATGTAAGATTGCATTAGGCTTTTTACCAGGTTAACTACATCTTTGTCCTGGCCCTTCAACATCTCTCAACTCATTTCCTATAACTCTCATCTGCTTCCGTCCTGCTCACGTTTGTATGTTCAGACACACCAAAGCCCTTGTGCACTGACCACACCCAACTGCTGGTCCCTAGGCCTCTGCAGGTGCCTTCTCACGCTTTACCTGATTTGCTTCTTTCAGGACGCAGTCTTGCCTCTGAAGTAACTTCCCTAACCCGCTTTCCAAAACTGCGCTAATGCTCCCTCCCACTGCTTTCTGACACTTCTGACTGCTTTACTATGTGAAATCATTGTTGCTTATTTCTTGTCTTATCCCCAAAAAGGAATCTCCTTGAAGACAAGAACCTTGTGTGTCTTCTTTTACACTGTATCTCCAGTGATCATACCTGGTGCTCAATAAACACACTGAAGACTGTGTGTGTGTGTGTGTGTGTGTGTGTGTGTGTGTGTGTGTGTACGTGCACATGGCTATATGGAAGAAGTGTCTAGCCAGCCATGCCCTTCCCACCACGAGTGAGCAATTGTCGTGCAGGGAGAGAACTAGGGAGGGTTGACATCAAACTTCTGTAGGCCAATCTCAGACAATTAGTTGGAAATTAAAACAAACAAACAAAAACAACAGTTACAGGCTGAAGCTGGAGTTCAGTGTCAGAGTACATCCACCATGCCCTAAATTCAAACTCCAATATTGAAAAAGAAAAGATTATTATAACAATTAAAAGCTTCCCGAATAGTATTTTGTAATTAAGAGATTGTTTCAACTGCTCACTTAGGCTTGTAAATAATTAGGTAATAATTCTGCAAGTGGGCATTACTTTATAAAGGTAAATAATCTACTTAATCAGAATCAGGCATTGTCATAGAATAAAGGCAAAATGTGGCGATTGTTTTTCTCACATTGATAAATGCTTGGAAGAAGTGGCTCAAGGAGGAAAAGGTTCATTTTGTGTGACACTATGGAAGGATACGGTCACTCATGGCAGGAAGGGCCATGTGGTGACAGGCACATGTCCTACAGCCTCCATTACAACTCTCCTGGAGTACTTAGTAAAGTAAAAACTATAAAAATAAAAGTAGTTGCAAGTAATTAGAAGTGCTTACAAGGAAAACTAACACAAACAATTATTAGCAAGGGCTGTGCTAAGTGTTTCTTGGAAGGGTGTGATAGCCCCTCTAAGTTACACTTTCACCTGTGAAAAGACAACTCAAAAGATCTGAGTTAAGTTCACTTCTAGTGTGGCTTTAAATCTATATGGGCTGTTATAAAGTAGTATATAAAAAGACAGACTATGAAGAGTAAATGTTTAAAGGCCCAATGAATCAAAAGTAAGCATTCTTTAATGTCAATATTTCAGTTAATTTCAAGAAAATAAATGCCATGCTAATATGTACACTGTACCTTTCTTAGACATTCATACTCCTCACGAAGTTCTCCAGGCTTGCTCAATTTGATTGGTGCTCTGAATATAAACTCTGGAGGAAAAGGAAAATACTTTCAAATAGAGTTTTGTAAGATGGAAACATGATAATATTCTACTGCTGACCATTACATTATAAGTCACGTTAAAAATTATGTTTTGTAAGCCGGGCGGTGGTGGGGCATGCCTTTAATCCCAACACTAGGGAGGCAGAGGCAGGCAGTTCTCTGTGGGTTCAAGACCAGCCTGGTCTAAGTTTTGTTTGTTTGTATTCGTTTGTTTTTTGATACAAGGTCTCGGTATATAGCTCTAGCTGGAACTCACTATGTAGACCAAGCTGGTTTTGAACTCTGCCTGTCTCTGCTTCTGTGCTGGGATTAAAGGTGTGTGCTATCACACCTGGTTCAAAGTATGGGTATCTTAGTTTGAATATTCCCTTATTCATTAAGTCAATATTTACTAAAGGTTATAAATCAGGACTGCTGTTCTAAGCACTGGAAGAAATATGAACAAGTACAGTCTTTGTGCCATGAATTGCAATCTTGTGGAGTAGCCAACACAGGTAAACAAGCGTTTACTTCTGAGTAGTGGCAGTAAATGCTATGGCGAGGAAGTCAATGTAGGGTGGAAGGAAAAGTCTGTTTTATACAGAGTGGTTTGGAAAACGATCGCTGATAAACATGTCAAAAGACTACAAAGAAAGCTATATTTGAAGCCCCTGTGTCACGTCTCTCTCTCTCTCTCTCTCTCTCTCTCTCTCTCTCTCTCTCTCTCTCTCTCACACACACACACACACACACACACACACAAATACACAGAAATAGTCTTTTTCAGTACGTAAAGTATTTTCTTTAGCCCCCAAAGTCTTCCGTGCCTCTCATGAGCCTAAGGAACAAAGACACTACTTCCCAGCCTGCTCTTCAAGGTGCTCCACTAACTGATCATCTACAAAATCACTACATTGCTCAATCCTTGAATAATTAGCTTCAAAACAGAAACCATATACATTAATTTGTATGCTGTTTCCCCATCTAAAATTTTATCTTCTCTCCATTCTGTATATTTTCTAAATTGAAGACAGGAGGACTATAAGATGCATAAAGTACATGGTAGTTATGCAAATGGACAATAAAAATGAAAAACTTGGAACAGGAATAAAAGTTAAGTCTTAAATGTTATCAAAAAAGGAGAGCCAACCATGGAGGTACACGCCTGGAATCCCTGCACTCAGGAGCCAAAAGCAGGACAGCCATAAATTCAAGAATAGCCTGGACTACAGAGCAGGAACCTAATTTTAGAAAGGATAGAGGGGTACACACTTTATTTCTATAAATATAATAGCTTATAGCCTCGAGATGTTTAGTGTTCTAACTATAGTAACAGTTTTACAATTTATTGATAACTCTACCTCCCAGTGTTGGTTCTAGAAAAACTAAGTTCCTCAAAAGCCTTTTGTCCCTTTTCAGTAGTCTCAACTATTTCCAAAGAAAGTATACTGAAGAATAAGAAGCTACTTAGAAACAGTGGCGTAAAGACCTCCACCCACAAAGAAGACAGACAACTGTCACCCACCTCAAGGCCTGATAACTGTTTCAGTCGTACCCCAAAGTGCATTCCACTTACAAGAAGTGCATTTAAAAGTTGATGCTCTTAACAGAGAAGAGAAGAAGAGAAAAGATAGAAAAACTCCTTTTTAAAAAGTACTTTAGGGGCTGGAGATGGGTCAGCTGTTAGGAGTATCAGTTGCTCTTTAAGAGGACCTGGGTTCAGTTCCCAGAACCTATACAGTGGCTCACAGCCATCTGTAACTCCAGTTCCAAGGAATCCAAGCCGTCTTCAGGTCCCTAGAGGCACCAGACACACGTGTTATATACATACAAAAGTACCTGCAGGCCAAACACTCATCACAGAAAACATCCTTTTTGAAAGAAAGTACTTCAGACACAGGTATTGAAAACCTCTTCACACATGTCAGTGAAACGTCACAGTAGGCACCAACCCATCCTACAACTGAGGCAGGCAACTGGGAGTCCAACGGTTTGCTTACCACAACACCACAGGAACATGGCAAAGATGGAAGAGAAATTTTTAAGAGGAGGAAAAAGAGAAATCATTTAATGATTTAAAAGGCAATTCTTTCCAAATTAAGGCCAATCTCTCTTGCCTACTACAAAAGCACTGCAGCGGTGCCCTCCTGAACAGTCTTCCTGGCACACCTGTGGAAGACGGTCTTAACTGTGAACTGATGCAGGAGGACCCAATCCACTGTGGGAATAAGCCCATCACCATTCTCTGAGCAGGTGTTCTAGGCTGTGTACAGAAGCTAATAAATGTAAATCTGTACTTGAGCTAGCAAGCAGCATTCCTCCATGATTTCTACTCCAAGTTTCTGCTTGAATAGGCGTTTAAAGGAAACCCCTTTCTACTCTAACTTAATTTTAGTCAGTATTTCATAACAGAAAGGAAACTAGTATGTTTCCTTTCTTACCTAAAAATACAAAATATTCATTAATAAGGAAACAGTCATGAATTTGTAAGAACCTACAACATGGCACACAAGCAAAATTTAAAGAGAAATTAATATAAAATTATGGTAAGAAATTTAATATACCACAAGTAAAATCATGCATTAAGCAAACCAAAAGAGCAGCAAAAAATAAACAGAAAAATGCAAAATATTACATTGGTCATATTTACATATATATATATATATGTACCCACCTAATGAAGAGTATTTATTACTTAATGAAAAACAGAAACAATTATTTATAATATACTATGTTACAAAGACATTTCAAACAGTTTCAAAAAATCCTATTATAAAATTTTCATCTTTAACACTGGCTACCATTTTCCAAGTTGAGCTTTCTAGCCATGCAACTGCCAACTGTTACTCAACATTCTTTCCCATTAAATCCCTTTCCTGAATAAATTTGCAAATGTAGATATCTGTTCAGTACAACTAACAAGGTTAGCTGTTTCTATTTTTCACATAGTACTCTGAAATAAACAGTAAACCAGGAGCTAGCAAAACCAAGAAGAAAAGGAGAAAGATTTTGTTTTGAAAAGACCTAAGTGCAGGTACCACACCGGGCTTCAATCTGCAGTGACCACTAACGCTACAAGACTGGTGTTGCATATATGCTCCTTTGAATGGCTGCTTGTTATCTACAAAATAAAATGCTGGCAACGAAGCGTTACTTTCTAACAGATAACAGCCCACCTTCCTAAGACCACATTGGATCATGGTCTCACTAGCATGGCATGAACCTGCCATCTGTCCAGCACACTAGTGCTGAAACTTTAGCTCTGCTGATCTAAGAGGCAACGATGACACTCCATGGTAAAACTAAGGACTTTCCACATAGCTAAAAGTAGCTTACGCTTCCTCTGAGCTCTGTTCCCTTTGTTGCTCACATAAACTCATCCTCTTGATTTGCTAGAGTCCTTCTCTATAAGCCACACCATCTGAAGAGCAACACTTTCAGTGGACTCTGTGTATGGTAGAAATTCTTATGCAATATATACTCAATTTTTTTTTTTTTAAAGATGGGCTCTTTGCCTGGAACTCAGAAATCTACTTGCCTCAGCTTCCCAAGTGATAGAACTGGGATTAAAAGCATGCATGTTGTGCCTGGCCTCAAATTGTTCTTTTACGGCTTCTCCATTTTGTATCATATTTGGGAGACCTTGCGACCAAGACATAATCAACTCTATCATAGTTCTTTCTGGTACAACCAAAATAATCTTCTCAGATTCACTTTTTAAAATTCCAAGTACTTTGAGGAACAATATAAGGAACATAATCTTATTCAGGCTTATAAATAAGACTACTATCTAACACAAGTATAAAAATAATTTAGTGACCCCTTGGAAAAAATGACAACTGAGATTACCATTAGGACATTTTCTCTAAGACAGGTCTTAATGGTTGTCAATCTCACAACAAACTATTGTTTTGTATAACTAGTATACACTAATTTCAAAAGTGAGTAAAATTTTCAAGTCTCAAGCGTTTAATATCTTCATCTTGTAAATAATCTAAACTTAAAATTTGACTGTAGACAAGTATCAGAGCCTCAGATGATGCAGGCTCAATTTCCTCTTCTATAAAATCAGACTAACAGTAAATACAAGCTAATTAATGATATCATTCACTGCAGGCTATGAGGATCAAATGAGATCAATGATGTCAAAGAACTCAGAAATGTCAAGCTTCTCTTTGCCTCAGTCTCCTTATCTATCAAATACAAATCAACATACTGGCCAACTTATCTCATATGCAATTAGACCACAATTATTATGATCTATCATATCTTACTACGCCTCTAACTTGTTTGCAATCAAAAGACAAGAGTAAGGTGCCATCATATGTCCACTAACATTAGAACAGACATAAATCATCTTAATATTGGGTTAGAATAATTTAAAAATGCACAATGCTAAACTAAGCATGATGGCACACACAAGTAATCCCAATATTCCAAAGGGTGAGATAGGAAGAATCTGTGTTTGAGGCCAGTCTGGGCTACATACTAAGACCCTATATCAATAATAATCATCATCACCACCATCTCTGGGATACATACTAAGACCCTATATCAATAATAATCATCATCACCACCATCTATACTTTTTAAAAGCACTGTAGAGGACTAGAGGTCCTTGTGCACACAGATAAGCCTTGAAGAAGCCAGGAAAAGTGAAACACGCAGGCTTGCTTCTTCTGAGGGAGAGTTTACCTGTCCTCCTGGGACGCTGGGAAAGGATGTAGTTGACGACCCGGTGATTCCTCATCTGTTGAGGCAAGCTCTACTGTATTCCCCTAGAATATGTTTTCCTTTCCCCCTAAATCTTAAGCAGTGCTTTTAGGCCATAAAGCCCATCCTTAAGAGTTGGGTCACCTGTGCTTTACAACAGCCTAAGTAGCTTCTCTGTTACCTTAGGGCCAGGCCAAACCAGACACCCACAGGCATTATTACAGTAGTCATTTTTCCTTAGATCCTAAATCCTGGGCACTATCTCTGAGTCAACAGTACCCATCTTTGTGGAAGA